CCATCTCACCAGCCCAGGAATTTTTTTTACTAAGAAAAATATCAAATTTAAGCAAGACAGTAGTATCACATGCCTTTAATCCCAGCACTCGGGAGGCAAAGGCAGGTGGATCTCTGTGAGTTTGAGGCCAGCCTAGTCTACAGAGAAAGTTCCAGAACAGCCAAGGCTGCACAGAGAAACCCTGCCTCAAAAAGCCAAATAAATAGCTAAAATAAACATTTAAACTCAAATTTAAGCTGAGGATGAGGGATGTGTGTCAGTGGTAGAGTATTGTCTACCATATGTTCTATCATATGCTACCTAAAAAAATGGGGGGAATCTAATTTGGGGAACATAGGTACATGCCTGCAGTCCTAGCCTTGTGAAAGCCAAGGTAGAGACAAATCAACTTGAACAGCAGTGAACTCCAATATCACACACGCACGCACGCACTCCATACACGCACTCAGAACCTCACCTCAGCCCCACACTCTCTCTCTCAAGACCCCGCCTTTAGAAAGATAATCAAGCCACAGCTCCTCCCCCTGAGATGCTCTGGACCATGTCTACAGAGTATTTAAGGCCCGGGACCCCTAGATCTGCCTCAAGATTTCTCTCCTGCCTCCCGCTCGGGAGTTGCTTTGCTCTGTTTGTTAAACCTGGTTTTATTGATTCGGCTGGATTTGGCTTATTGGCATTGGTGGAGAAAACAGGGACCCAAAAATACTTATTAATATACCACTCAAAAATTGTGTAGTGGCTACCGAAATGGCTCAGTGGTCACAAGCACCAACTGCTCTTCCAGAGGACCTAGAGTCAATTCCCAGCAACCACATGGAAGTTCACACATGCCTGTTACTCCATTCCCAGAGTATCTGCTGCAAGCATGCAGGCACACAGACATACATGCAGGCAAAACACTGCACATACAGTAAAAAACTAATGCATTTTTAAAAAGTACTTTTAGTTGTGGGGCTGGGGATGTGGCTCAGCTGATAGAATGCTCTTATCCTGAAGCCCTGAGTTCCATCTCCTTCTCTCCCTCCCTCCCTCCCTTATATTGTTACTGTCACAGTGTCAAGAAAAGTAAGGAACAGCCAAGCAGTGGTGGCTCACACTTATAATCCCAGCACTCGGGAGGCAGAGGCAGGCAGATCTCCTAGTTGGAGGCCAGCCTGGTCTACAGATTGAGTACATAGAGAGATTCTGCCTCGGAAGCCAATAAATAAATAAAGGTAAGAAATGTAGTGCCCACCAGCTTTGCAGTAGGTGACACCTTTTTTGTGTGGTCACAATACAGATGTTTGGGTTACTTTGCAGGGACCCAACACTTTGGTTCTACAGATGTCTCATTGGAGACCAAATTGGGGTGAGATGCTTGGCCTATCTGTCTTTGATTGGAAATAGCAGAGTGAGAACATGCATCTAGAGAGAGTAGGGATCAGGGAGGATGGAGCTTGCTGCCAAGCCTGCTGACTTCCGTTCAATCCCCAAGACACACAAGGTGGAGAGAGAGAACTGATCACCTCAAGCTGTCTACCTACTCCTACACGTGTGTCCTAGCATGAGTCCTCACCACTGTCCCACCTAGTAAATGAAAAATAAATAAGCAAATAGATAAATAAATAAAAGCAATTTTATAAAACGTATGAAAGAGAACGACGTGCTCACCAGGGCTTCATCTTGCTAACGGGGCAGCCGCAGAAACACGTGTGACGCATGATTGGGAGAGGGAGGTCATCTACTTTCAGAGCCCATCTTGTCTGTGCTTACTAGCCCATGTCCACTCTTGAGAGTTCTTCTTATTTCTAATCATTTTTACTTGTTTGCAAACTCATGTACATGTCCAGGGACAATTTGTGGGAGTTGGTGCTCTTCCATCAGAAGGGTCTCAGGGATCAAACTCTAGTTGTCAGGCTTGACAGCAAGCACCTTAACCCACAGAGGCATCTCACTATTCTTCTTTCTATTTTTTAAGAATATATTTATTTTTACTTTATTTAATCATGTGCATGTATATGTACATGTGAGTGTGTGTGCTAGAGAGAGAGAGAGAGGAAGAAAGGGAGAGAGAGAGAGGAAGGGAGGGGGAGAGAGAGCATGTGAAAGCCTAGAACTGAAAATTGCAGGCAGTTGTGAGTCAGCCTATGCAAGTTCTGGAACAGAACTCAGGTCCTCTGTGTGAATAGTGCCCACTTAACATCTCTGACCCTGATGGTCACAACAATGTATCTAAAAAAATTTTTTTTGATTTATGACATTTTTTGTTGTTCCATAGCTATTAAATCTTGATTAAGCCATTTCTATGTTTAGCTCTTTGAAATGAGGGCTGTGGTTTGTGTGGAAAGACCATGTTTATTCCCTGCCCCCTTTTGGTTTTCCGTTCTATTGTGTTCATTTATTTACTTGTGGCTATGTGTGTAGGCGCTTGCGTGAAGGTCAGAGGACAGCTTGCATAAGTCGGCTTCTCCTTCTACCATGTGGGACCAGGGAACTCAGTTTCCCAGGCTGGGTAATAGTCCTTTTTTTTTTTTAACCAATCTCATTCCTATATTCCCTCTGTAAAGCTTGCTGTCCCCTAGTGGTAAATATTATGTGAGCAACGCTATTGTTTCTTTGGGGGCTGCATTCATTGAATGAATGGCTTATCAAGTTTTCTTGATTACATCTGATTATTTTTCAGGAGCCTTGTTCGTTTGTTTGTTTGTTTTTCGAGACAGGGTTTCTCTGTATAGCCATGGCTGTCCTAGGAACTCACTCTGTCAACCAGGCTGACCTTGAACTCACAGAGATCTGCTGGCATGTGTCCCCGGCTTCAGAAATCTATGAATGCATATGCAAATATTGGGAAGAAAGACTGGGGCTGTAGCTCAGTGGTAGAGCACTTCTCTCTCGAGCATTAAGTCTGTAGGCTCAATGCCCAGTACTGCCAAAACAAAACATACTGGGAAGGAATATCTGATGTTGTCCCTGGGACCCAAAAAACTGGGATTCAATTCTACACACTCTCTCTGTTACCACCGGTGACTTCATCGGGAAGTGACCTTACTTGTTAAAGCACATTTAGCTTAGACAGAATACTCCATTTGACCACCTGCAATAGGTTTTCTTTGCAGGAAGCACTGTTCTGACTGTAAAAGGCTAAAGCAGATCTCAGTAAAGCATCAAAGCGCATGTGTAACTCTTGAGTCTGGTCCTCTGCCTTTCCTACCTCCAATCCAGAAGGTATCTGGCCTGTCTTGGCCAATTCTGGTGGGAAGATCCAAGTTCTAATCCTCTCTTTGCTACTTAACTGTATCACTCAGGGACCCTCCAAGACTCAGTTTCCCCTTTGGCACAACAGAGTCAAACACAAGTGGTGTATGTGTGTGAGAATACGGCTCTGTGGACCACAAGACGTTATAATCTTTAGAGTTGTCCGGGCTGAGAATGCAGTTTAGCTGGTAGCAGTCTCAAGCCCCTGGGTTCGAGCCCCAGTACTCTACAAACTGAGGGAGGTGGTGCCCACCTAAAATCCCTATACTCTGGAGGTGGAGAATCAGAAGTTCAAAGTTGACTTTGACTACACAGTGAGTCCAGGTCAGCCTGGCTACATGAGACAGTCTTTTTTTTTTTTTTTTTAAAGAAAAGCAGGGTCTGGGTTACCTCATTCAGGAGGGCTGTTTTTCTAGTTCTGTCCATTTGCCTTCAAGTTTCAAGATGCTATTGTGAGTTTTTTTGTTTGTTTGTTTGTTTGCTTTTTGTTTTTTATTTTTTGTTTTTAACCGCTGAGTAGTAATCTGTTATATGGATGTGTCACATTTTCTTTATCCATTCTTCAGTTGAGGGACAGATAAGTTGTTTCCAGGTTCTGGCTATTACAAATAATGCTGCTGTAAACATAACAGGAAGGGGTAAAAGACAAGATCTCCTGAGTAAACTGAAAGCATGAGGGAACGGGGAGAGGGTAGAAGGGGAGAGGTTAGGAGAGAAGGAGAGTGGGGGAAAATGTATAGCTCAATAAAAATAAATCAGCAACAACAACAAAAACAAAAGCAGGAGAGTGTGACTCTCGAGGCCCCACCCCCTCTCTGAGGATCTACTGGCAGTTAATGATTGCTGGGAGAGGAAGAGACATTTTCTTCAGTGGTGTAGCTACTGGTTAGGTGCCCATGCTATGTAAATAATCTTCACCCTGCTCCTGTAAGTGACTTTAATGACGCTCACTGGGTCACAGAAGAAGAAAGGAAGGAAGAAAGGAAGAGGGAGGGACCAGAAGGAAGATTAGGTGGGAAGATCAGAGAGGATAATGAAGCTGTGATCATATATGATCAAAATACATTTATATACTTGTATGAATTGCCATTATGAGCCGGGGCTGGCGGCGCACACCTTTTCTCCCAGTAGTTGGAAGGCAAAGGCAGGCCTTTGTGAGTTCAAGGCCAGCCTGCTCTACAGGGTGAGTTCCAAGACAGCCAGGTGGTTACACAGAAAAACCCTGTCTGGAAAAAAAAAAAAAAAAAAAAAAAAAAGGAGGGTGGTATCTTCAAGATGACTGACAGTAAAGGTGCATGTGCATATATACCTACACATCTCACAAGTTAATAGAAAATAGAGTCTAAAAAACAAGTGAAAATTAAAAGGGGTAGCGAGATGGCTCAGAGGATAAAGGCTCTTGCTGCTAAGTTTAATAACCCAAATGCTCAGGACCCATAGGTTTCAGAAGAAAACCAACTCCCTGAAGTTGTCGACTGCACTGTACATACGTTGCACGCACGTGCCCCTCTTCCACACTCAAACAAATACACAGATGTAATTAAATTAAAAAATAAATACATAAAGAGAGAGAGAGCGTAGATGGAAACTGAAGCCTTGGGCAAGAATACTTCTGAGGATGCAGCCTGAGCAGCCTCAGAGGGCGCGCTGAAACTACAACTCCCAGCCTCCTTTGAGTGAGTAAAGGCGGATGGCCCCCCGGGATTGGTCTTTCCTTCGTGGGGCGGGGCTTGAGGAGAGGCCAGCCTTCCTCAGTTGCTAGTGGAGACCAGCGCAGGTAGGCGGAAATTGCCGAGGCAGGCGGCGAGTGCCTAGGCGGTTCGCGGGAAGGCCTGGCCGCCATGGCGGCCCGGGGTTCCGCGAGTCGCTTCTGGTGCTCGTGCCCCGAGGTGCCTTCTGCCACATTCTTCACCGCCCTGCTCTCGCTGCTGGTGTCGGGACCCCGCCTGTTCCTACTGCAGTCGCCTCTGGCGCCTTCGGGGCTGTCGCTGCGCTCCGAGGCCCTGCGCAACTGGCAAGGTGAGCAGCGCCTGGGCGGGGATGGCGCGCTTCCTCAGCCCGGGGACCCCATCTATCCCTCACTGCCAGCCAAGCCCCAGCCTCCGTGCCCATCACTGTTCTCCCCACTTGGTACTCAAGCATGCCTTGTCCAAAGCCTCATCATTTTCGCCAGTTCCTTCCCTACCCAGAATTGCCCTGTTGCTTGTCACCATAGATCATTCATTCATTCTTTGATCTCAAGGGTGAATACCCTTCCTTCGCCCCTTCCAGTTTATAAATACAGACCCCCCCACCTTCTGAAGTCCCGAGCCCCTCAGGAACAAAACGAACGCCTCTCACATTCATTCTGACAGTGGAACTTCATATCTCGTCACTCCAATGAATGGTTTTTCCTCACGAGTCTAGAATTTTCTGCTGCGTCTTCACTTTAATCCTGACTCTTAATTCCAGCTCGCGGAAGGAGGAAGGGGGCCGTCCTCTGCCCCTAGTAAAGTGTTTGTTTTCTCAGGGGAGAGAAATTTCTCAGGCCAATTAAGTCTGTAATCATCCTTTTGTAAAAGACAGGATTCCTAGTCTTTATTTCTTTGTCATTCTTTCCTGGGAAATCCCTGTTGCTCCCAATGTAAGAGAGGCCTGTGCTTTCATTTCATGTGATCCCCACAGCGATTTCATGACAGGCCATATTAAATTGCCTATTTACCGGAAATTGAGGCTGAATACAGACAGTCACAGAGCTAACACATCCTAATATTGAGATAGTCACCCAGCTTCATGTTTTTAGTATGCTGTTTGAACTAAGGTTTTCATATATAATTCCCACGTTCTTATGTAGATACATACATACATACATACATATGTGAGCCATTGAATTTGGGACCCATGCTGTAATGTTGTAAGCCTCTAGCTCCAGCACTTGAGAGGCACAGACAGTTGAACCTCTGTGAGTTCAAGGCCAGCCAGGACTACACAGAGAAACCCTGTCTTGAAAAACAACAAAATTTCAGTTTGGGAAGTATCCAGCAAATAATGGAGGCTTCAAGAGATAGTGTGGCTGGGGTATTATGGTTTCCTGCTTAAAGCTGATGAAGCTTTTTACAGTCAACCAAATGCTAATCTAGATGCACACACACACACACACACACACACACACACACACACACACACACCCTTTGAAATGGTTTTGCTATTTATTTAAACCAGAATGGCTGGACTCACTGTGTAGCCCAGGCTGGCCTCAAGCACATGATCCTCCTGCCTCAGCCTTCTGAGTACCAGGACACAGACATGCATCAAATCACATGCGTACTTAACCCTATTTATGCAAGTGTGGGATTCATGAATGGGTAGAGATGTAGGGCCCTTGAAGGCCTGGGGTTTGACCTGTTACTTCACAATGAGGAGATTACAGCTGTGAGGGTGTGGATGTTGGATTTAACTGAGCCCAGGCAGCCTGGATATGATAAATGAAGACGTCCTCCAAGTCTTACACTCCTAAGAACAACGTGGCTTCATCAATCTCTCTCATGTGAAGGTTTCAGCCCACAGAGATACATACATTAGAGAGCCAGGTGTGGTGGTATGTGTCTTTAATCCCAGCCCTAGGCAAACAGAGGCAGGTGGATCTCTGAGTTAGAGGCCAGCCTGGTCTACACAGTCAGTTTGAGGCCAGCCAGTGTTACACAGTAGGTCCCTGTCTCAAATAAGCAAAAAAATACATTAGAGCCCTGTAAGGTGGCTCAGCAGGTAAAGGCACTTGCCACCAATCAATACAACTGCAGTTTGGTCCCTGGAACCTACGTGGTGGAATGGACTCCTGCAGGTTTTCCTCTGAACCCCACAAGGGTGGCATGGCACTCATGCACTCCCATATACCCACAAATAAAATAGAGATTAGTTTTTTAAAATTATGTATGTTAGTGATAACTTGCATTCAGAAAAGTAAAGGTTTAAATCAAATATGGCAGACACTTGTAATCCCAAGCCAGCCTGAACTACGTATCAAAACCTTATCTCAAAAAAAAAAAAAAAAAAAAAAAAGAAAAGAAAAGAAAGAAAGAAAAAGGTCAAGTGAGGTGACTCAACTATAATCCCAGCCCTCAGGAAATGGGAGCCAGCCTGGTCTATATAGCAATTTATAGCCCAGACAGGGCTGCATAGTGCAGTCTTGTCTCATAACAGAGAGACAGAAAAGGACTTTGCTATCTCATGGCATATAAATCTTGTGTCCACCTGTAAAAGTGGAAAACGCTCTTAGAGAGGACTTGTAATTTCTGTATATTATTAATGATAAGGGCATAGTCCTTATAAACCACAAAACTATTCATTATTTCTGTTTTCTTCCCCTGAACAGCCTCTGGAAGGAGAGGCCAGGATTACAGCTGAGGAGAAGGGCACACTCTGTTAAGACACCCAGTCTACCCCAAAGCTGTTACAATTAGTTAACCCTCAGACTGCCCAGTGAGGGTTAAAATCCAAAACACGAGGGCTGGAGAGATGGCTTAGCAGTTAAGAGAGCCGGCTGCTCTTACAGAGGACACAAGTTTGGTTCCCAGCATCCACATGGGGCAGCTGACAACTGCCTCTAATGCCAGCTCCAGGGGATCCAACACCCTCTACTGGCCTCCGCAGGCACTGCACACAGTGCCATGTGCAGATAGATACACAAAAAATACAGATCTTTAAAAGAAAACCTAAAATAATGTTATAAAGCATTTGACAAGTTCAGAAAAAGTTATCTTTTTTTACACATAGAAACTGTTCTTGATAGTCTTTGATCCAGGGCCTTGAAAGAATGGAGACTACATTATATGCACATACATGCTTTGAATCATGGGAATTGCTCTTGATAACCCTGGCTCTAGGGCCAGGAAGAAATGGAGATTATATTTTATCCTCATGCCTTGAATGGTGGACACTACTCCTGTTGAGCCTGCCGTGTTTCCTCAACCTCCAAGAAAGTGACTCCCAACTGCAAAAGCAAAAAGTTTTTATTGCTAAGAACCGAACCGACTGGGACCTCACTCTAGAAGAGTAAGGCACCGGTTTACAATTGTGAAGCGTTTTTAAAGGGAAAGGGAGGATTGAGACTGCTAGTCTCAGCCCATAATGTTTCCAAGGTTACAGAGTTTCACAGAGCACAAAGTTTACAAGGTGGGATTGTTTAGCTCACCTGCAAGGTTAGGGGGTTTTCTTTCTCTAGGACTGGCGGGCTCAGTGGCCTTGTCCTTAAGATAATGGGGGCTGAGAGAATGTACTCTCTAGTCAGGAAGTTATCTATAGCTATTGGCAGAAGCACTTGTTCTTTCTGGTTTTCCCTTCTTGCCATGAGTCCCATATCTTTTAGTTATTAATTTTCCCTCACACTCCTCACTTTCCTGTTCTGTTTTTATTATTTTATTATTGAGACAGGGCCCTGTGTAGGCAGCTCCAGCTTTAAGACTCCTTTCCCAAGCTGGCTGGACACTTAGTTGACCCTAGTTGGAACAGCGCTGCGCTGGACCGTTAACCAAAACCCATCTTTAGTTTACAGGCTGGTGACCTACATCTTCGTCTATGAGAATCCAGTCTCCCTGCTCTGCGGCGCCATCGCCATCTGGCGCTTTGCTGGCAACTTTGAGAGGACCGTGGGCACTGTCCGCCATTGCTTCTTCACCGCGATCTTCACCATCTTCTCTGCCATCATCTACCTGTCATTCGAGTCCGTGTCATCGCTGTCCAAGCTGGGTGAGGTGGAGGATGCCAGAGGGTTTACCCCTGTGGCTTTTGCCATGCTGGGAGTCACCTCTGTCCGCTCTCGGATGAGGCGGGCCCTGGTGTTTGGTGTGGTGGTGCCTTCAGTCCTCGTGCCGTGGCTTCTGCTGTGTGCCTCCTGGCTCATTCCTCAGACCTCCTTCCTGAGTAACGTCTCCGGCCTTTTGATCGGCCTATCATGTATCCTTTCTGGAACGGAACTACAGGGTGAAGCTACACCAGAAGCCAAACCCACTTGAGGGTTGTGGGCTGTCAGGTACATCGCCTTAGGCTCCTACACAGGCAGTCTGGATTTGGCTCCAGCTTGGAAAACCTCGGAGCCCTGGGCAGCGCTCCTCCCCTCCCTGGACTAGAACTCATCAGGAAAATACAAATATAGTTGCCTGCCCAGGCCAGCTCAGCACAGCCTGTTAGCAGTTTAAGCTTAATTATACTGGCTTGACTTTTTTTTTTTTCCTTGTAAACTGAGGTATAATCTACTCAGCTAACTTTAGTGTGAAGTTTTATGGGAAGAGGGGACCAGAGAGATGGCTTTGTGAGTAAAGCATTTGTGTAAGCTTGAGGACAAAAGTCATAGCTCTGGAACTCGGATCCCTGTGTAGCAGAGGTGAACACAGGTAAATCCCTAAGGCTCATTGGCCCATCAGCCTCACCTAATTTGTTAATTTCAAGATCAAGTGAGAGACCCTACTTCCGAGGATCCACACCCGAGGCTGGCCTCTGGCCTCCACACATAGGCACTCACATAGTGTTTATTGGAAGAGTCGAGATGCCCATCACCAGGAGATGTTCATGGAAGGGTTGAGAAACAGACCTGGGCTTGTTGAGATTTTGTTCTATTTTTGCTGGGTTTAGAGTATCAAACCCAGGGCATTGTGCATGGTTAACAAGCACTCTACCACTGAGCTACACCCCAGTCCTTAATTTTCTTTTTTCTCAGAGGGAAAGGGGTTGTAACAGGGTCTTGCTATATGGCCCAGCCTAGCCTCAAACTCAAAACCCACCTGTTTCCCGAGTGCTAGGATTACTACTGTCATTCACCACCATATCTGGCTCCACACCCCAATTATAAATTTCTCAGTGTGCCCTTTTTTAGATTTATTTTTATTTATGGATAAGTCTGTGGATATGTGCACCTGCATGTTGGCACTTGAGGAAGCCAGAAGAGGTTGGCAAGTCCCCTAGAACTGGAGTTACAGGTAGTGGTGAGTTGCCATGTGGGTGTTGGGAACTGAATTTGGGTTCTCTAGAAGAGCAATTTGCACACCTAACTATAAAGCCATCTTTAGATTCCCCTGCCCTCTAAAGGTAATTTCTTTTTGAGACAGGGTCTCACTATGTAGCCCTAGCTGTCCTGGAACTCCACTGTGTAGACCAGGTTGGCCTCAAACTCAGAGATCTGCCTGCCTCTGCCTCCTGGGTGCTAGGATCAAAGGTGTGGGTGTATACACCACACTCAGGAGCTGACTGAGGCAGAAGATTGAAGTCAATTCTCCAGCTTCTAGAGTAGCTGGGATTATAGCCTGATTATTACCGTATCCATCCATTTTAGGCAGGGCTGGGGATCCAATGTAGGCCCTATGATACATCAGCCTGGTCAAATCCCCACTGAGCTACATGGCCAGCATTACCCTTATCTAGGGATAAGGAATTGAGCCTTTTTAATTAGGAATTCTGAGATCCAGAATACTTCAAAATCTGAAATGTTCTGAACATTAACACAACACAGATGGAACCTTCTGCACCTGACCTGACTATGATCGAAGTGAGAACATGGATGCACCCAAAATACTGTGTAAAATCACCTCAGGCTGTGTGAGGTACAGGTGAAACATAAGTGGGTTTTGTCATGCATATGCAAGTGTTCAAATAACCTGTAAGACCTGAAGTATTTCACCCAAACTAATTTGGTAAGGAATACTCAACCTGTACTTAACCCTTAGTGCAGGCATAAACTAGATGCTTAATATTTACTGAAGGGTGGCTAGTAAGGTAGCCCAGTGGGTAAAAACCATTGCTTCTAAGCCTGACAAGCTGAGTTCCATCCCAGGGACCGTCATGGTGGAAGGGGTGTTGATTCCAACTCCATAAAGCTGTTCTCCAACCCCCCCCCCCACACACACTGTGGTACACTCGCACCCATGTGCGTGTGCTCACATACAGAGTAAATATTTGTTGAAGGATATATGGAACAGGCTATAACCTTTGTAGCGATGCAGGCAGTGATGGACCAAAACAAAGATGGTGACTACATGGAGAAAATGCTTCCAGAGAAAACGCCATATTGAAATTTGCCATGGTGGGCCATGCTTCATAATCCCAGCACGAAGGAGTTTGAGGTAGGAGGCATTGTAAGTTTAAGGCCAGGCTAGGCTGCATATATCTCCCTCCTCCCTAAACAAAAGGCCATGTGAAGTTCAGTTGGTCACACTGGGGCAGAGTACCTTTGATTTGGAGCAAAAGTCTAGAAGTGTGCCCATCCCAGTGTTCTATTAAGACTGGTTTGTAAACCCGCAGTGGTGCAGGCAGACACATGCCTTGAATCCCAGCACTCAGGAGGTAGAGGCAGATGGATTTCTGAGTTTGAAACCAGCCTGGTCTACAGAACTACACAGAAATCCTGTTTCAAAAAGCCAAAAGAGAATTACTAGTGGCGGATGGCAGTGGTTGGAAGACCCAGGAGGTACGTTGTGAATTCTAACACACAGCACACACTGTTCCCTGTGAGGCATGCAGCTGGGGATGGATGTTCAGCTCTCTGCAGAGACTGACGAGATGCACACACTGTGCCTCCCAGGAGCTGGGTCCTTGGGGCATGTCAGCTGCCTTCAGTTTTACTTAATATCAACCTCAGATGGCCTCACCTACTGTTACTCCCTCGACCTCTCTGAGCGAGTAGCCCTGAAGCTTGACCAGAAGTTCCCCTTCAGCGCCATGAGGAGGGTTCCCCTGTTCAAGTACGTCTCAGGTTCTTCTGCCGAAAGAAGAGCAGCACAGAGCCGGAAGTAAGTGGCGACTCCCTCACCTGTTTGGTTGTGTGGTTGGTGTCAGTGCTGGAAGCCCGACCCACGGCCTTTCCCATGCTAGTCAGGTGCACTGTTGCTGTGCTGTCATCCACCCCTGCCTTTGGTTTTGTGGGTCAGAAACCCAGGGTCGGCTTTGAGCTTGGGAGGCTCTTGTCTGTTCTTCTCAGATAGCAGGCTGTAGATTTCATCCCACAGCTGGCTCTCAGTCTCATTCCAAGAGCAACTGCAGAACATGGTAAAGGGTGTGGTTCATCTTGGAGGGTAAAGGAAGGGGAGTGCAGTTTCTCAGTTCTCTGCAGTGAAGGTTTGTGGTTCTGGATCAGCATCTGCCTAGAATCCCCCAGTGAGGGGCTGGGGTAGGGCTCAGGTGTAGAGCATCTGCCTAGAATCCCCCAGTGAGGGGCTGGGGTAGAACACTTAACCTAATTCATGGGAGGCCTTGGGTTCCGGCACTGCAAATAAGGAAAGAAAATATGTGTACACATATCTTCTGAACACTGCCTTGTGTGTAAAGGAACAAGCATGAGTGGCTAAAGACAGACATTTGCATGTAATTCTGAGTGATGTATAGAGAGATAATAGTCTTAACACTGCTTAGTCAGCGAATACTCTGCAGGTAGCTCTAGGTATGGCAGTTAGCCATGCGTGGACAGTCTGCTCAGTAGGTGTCAGGGTAGAAGAACATGAAAGGAGTTTCTTGGCTCCCTAATAAGAGCAGGTGAGGCTGACTTTTTTTCCAGTCTGGGCTTGTTTGCTCTTAAAAACTGCTAGGCGCCAGGCTGTGGTGGAGCACGCCTTTAATCCCAGCACTGAGGAAGCAGAGGCAGGTGGATCTCTGTAAATTCAAGACCAGCCTGGTCTACAGATCAAGTTCCAGGACAGCCTCCAAAACCACAGTGAAACCCTGTCTCGAAAAACAAACAAACACAAGACAGCAACAAAAAAGCTCCATCATGGGGACAATTGTCTCTAAGCTGCTCTTATGGGTCCTCACACCTTTACCGAGGTGGCTAAAGAGGACTTGTGTTCCCAGGTGACAGTCCAGGGAAGAGGCTGCTGTGACCTAGGGTCTCCTACCTGCAAGTCCTTTCCCATACTGCCTCTGCCAGTTGTGTTCTTTCCAGCCTTTGTTCCCCGAGACTCCACAATCCCGTCTGTGGTGCCTCCCAGAGGAGGGTCTTGCTGAGAAACGGGGACCCAGTGCTGGCTGTGGGGTGTGTTTGCCCTCCACTCCCAATGTCCGAAGCAAGCTTTGTTGAACTGGAATAACTTGATTTGGGATTGGGTTCTGTGCTATTTGGTGTGTGTGTGTGTGTGTGTGTGTGTGTGTGTGTGTGTGTGTGTGTGTGTGGTGTGGTGTGTTTGTTTGTGGGCAGAGCCTCCATAGCTCAGTCCTTCCTCAATAGCTATTTAGCCAAAATGACCCTGGCCTTCTGATGCTGCTGCCTCCATCTCAGTGCTGGGGATTACAGGCATGCACCAACATGCCCAGTTCATTAGTGCTGGGGGTGGAACCCTGGGCTTGTTCCTTTTGAGCAATTTTTAAAGCCAAAGAAGAAGCAAGGCATGGTCCCACCTGTAATCTCAGCACTTGGGAGGCTCTGAGGCAGGAGGATTTGGAGTTGGAGGCCAGTATGAGCTACAAAGTGAAACCTCAGCTAGCCACATCTGAAGAAAACAAGGGCTGTGGATATGGGTCAGTGGTAGAGTGCGTGCCTAGAATACAAGAGTCTCCTAGCAACTTGTCAGGCTTGAGAGGTTCAGACTTTGCCCTCAAGGAGTACCCTGTGGGACAGCAATGGAGTGGGGTCACAAGTCCCAACTCACACACTTCTGGTGAATGCAGCTGCCTCAGGGAACCAGAAGGGTTCTACTGTGAGTTGCACTTGCCAACAGGAAGCTCTGTCACCTGGTACCAGATCTGACCCTGACAGGTGTGGGGTGGGTAGCCCTTTGTGTTCCTTCTCTGTTCCTCACATGACTGCTGGTTGCTGGTTGCTGGTTGCCAAGACTGACTGCAGGCATCAGAACAGAACATGATGTTTCAGGTGTCCTCACAGAGTCACCAAGAGTATTACGACAGGACACGTGAGCTGCCATGTGGGTTGTTTTGTTTGAAAAGTTGGTTTGGTATAGAGTTTGGGTGGTTTATTACAATAAAAATAGACAGTTTATTAAACTAAGAAAAGAGGCCAGCGGGCTTAGCAGATAAGGACATCTGTCACCAAGGCTGAGGATCTGAGGTTTGTCCCTGGGACCCACATGGTAGAAGGAAAGGACTGACTCCTGAATGTTCTCAGACACACACACCACACGCCCCAACCACACACACACCAACCACACATACATACTCCAACACACACACACAAGCTACACACACATAAATGGAAACTCATTTTAATAAGAAGGTAATGTACATCTTTAATTCCCAGCACCAGGGAGGCAGAAGTAAGTAGATCCTTGTGAGTTTGAGGCCAGGCTGGTCTACAAAGAGATTTCTAGGCTGCCCAAGACTTCAGTGAGACCCTGTCTCCCAAAGAAAAGAAAAGGAAGGAAGCTGTCCCAGAAGCAGAATGGGCTAGTGAGCTGTGCTGGAGATCAGGGCTGGACACATACTCAGCAGGTGGCCTCACTGAGCCATGCCCCAGCCTTATTTGTGTGTGTGTGTGTGTGTGTGTGTGTGTGTGTGTGCGTGCGTGCGTGCACGCGGGTGCATACACACACGCGAGTAGCATGGGTCCTAAAAATGAGGTGGACTAAAGTCTCATACAATAGCCAACTTTTTTTCAGAACAGCAGACAATTTATACCTGAGGGTTAAAAAGAATCCTAAGTAAGGTTTCAGTCACAAGGACAAGCCACACGTGGCAAAACATGTTTTTCCATAGAGGCATGAGTAACAATAGCTGAAGTAAACTCACTCCTGTCCGCTACACCTGGGAGGAGCATGCAGACACATTCCAAGGATCATTCTGGGTATTGAAGAAACTGAGGGCACAAGACTGTTGTTTTCTCACAGCACTCAGAATTCTCATGCGACTCCATTCTTGGACTGTGTTTCCGACATGTGTACACTCTTACCTAGTACTCGTGAGTCCCTAGATTTGATCCTGAGTACTACACAGGCGGGGTGTGGTGACTCATGCCTGTAACCCAAATGTTCTGGAGGTACAGGTTGGATGTGAGGTTCAAGGTCATTCTTAACTACATTGAAGATTCGGAGAAACCTGGGCTACATGATGTATCGCCACCACCCCACCCCACCACCACCCACCTCCCATTCCCCTTACCCCACCCCCAAATCCATCTTTCTCCTCCTTTGAAACCTGGCTGCCTACGGCCCCATCCATGCTCTCATCTCAGGGAATGACATGGTGTGCTTTGTCCCTGCCAGCGGAATGACTGTCTCTTCTCTTCTTTTCCAGACTGAACCCTGCACCCGGCTCCTATCCCACACAGAGTTGCTACCCTCATCTAACCCCAAGTCACCCTGTCACCCAGATACAGCATGCTAATGGCCAGAAACTGGCCTCCTGGCCTCCCGGACACATGCCCAGCCTGCCTCCATACCAGCCTGCTTCTGGCCTGTGTTATGTGCAGAACCATTTTGGTCCTAACCCCAATGCCTCCAGTGTGTACCCAGCTTCTGCAGGGACCTCCCAGGGAGTGAAGCCTCCCTCCCCCATCAGCTGTCCTGGCACTGTGTATTCTGGGGCCCTGGGCACCCAAGGGGCTCCAGGCTCTAAGGAATCTTCCAAGGTTGCCATGCCCTAGCCAGTCTGCAGAAAAGGCTCCTCTACGTGTTGGGCAGAGAAAGGTCCTACCCAAGTGAGGAATTTAAGAATTATTTATTGAAGCCAAAGCATGCTGGCCTGTCATCCCAGCTGCTTGGGAGGTTGAGGCCTATAAATGCAAAGGTCAAGGTCTGGGCTCCAGAGCAATTTCGAGGTCAGCCTAGGCTATGTATGTATCACAAGACTCTATATTAAAATTAATAAAAAATAGCTGGGCCTGGGGCATAGTCCTCAATTCCACAAAAAAAAAAAGAATTATTTATTAAATACTTCTATGTGCCAGCTCTGTTGAGTACTTTGATAAATGTCCCTATATAGCTGTGTCGTTTCCCCTCAAGGCAGCTCTAGAAAGTAAAGTTTACTGCCCCAGCTTTCAGACACAGGAAATAAAAGTGGGTGTGGCTAGCCATGCCTGTAATCCTCTGTGATCAAGACAAGGATCAGACGTTGAAGGTCATCCCCAGCTACACAGTGGGTCTGAACCCAGCCACTGGCTACATGAGAAGTAAGACATCCTGGGGTCCCATGGAATCTTGAGGCTCTACAGCCACTGCTAGAAAGTGTGGTTGTCATCGGCTGCCAGGGACTCTTGCCAGTCCTACCATCTCATCCTGCTCAGTGTCTGTGTGGCATCCTCTTCCCCCTCCAGCCCTCCCTGTCCTGACTTCTGCCAGACGGTGATGACCTGCAGCTTCATGCTGGTGGTCCACCCTGTGAGTTAACTACCTTTGTATAAAAACCAGCCTCCAGCCTGCCAATAGTGTGTGGCTTATTTGTGTTCAGTCCAGGGTGGGTAGTGATTTGATCAACAGGAATGGGTGCGGTGACAAAAAGGATCCCTGTGCTCAGGGATCAATGAGGAGAGCCTGACTTGGGAAGTGGGTAGAAAAGATGGTGTAGAAATTTGATCAACCCAGAACTGGGTACAAGGGGCTAGCCTGGGCAAGTCAGTGACACTCTGTCTCAAAAAGCTTGGGTTTTGTTTTGTTTAATAAAAACAAGCTGGGCATGGTAGCATATGCCTTTAATCTTAGTACTTGGGAGGTGGAGACAATGTATCTCTAAATTTGAAGCCTGCCAGATCTACAGACAGAGTTCCAGAATATCCAAGTCTACACAGTGAGACCTTGTCTCTAAAAATAAAGGACTTGAGTAGAGTAGTACCTGCCTTTACCCACAACACTCGGGAGGTAGAGCACTTGGGTAGATCTTAGGTCAGCCTGGTCTACATAACCAATTCCAGAACTGGGGGTATGGCTTGGTGGTAGAGTGCATGCCTAGCCTACAAGTGGCACTGGGTTCCATCTCCAGCACTGGGGGGGGGGGGGGGGGTGGAAAGCATACTACTTGTATTAGATGTAGCACATGTTTGCTTCCAGGAGCTGCATCTGGTGGGGGGCGGGGAGTCTAGATATTCCAATACAGATGATTTCCTGACCCCAAGCTCCTCGGGACAGGGTGGTAGTGTGAAGATGGGCACATCCAAGTGTCCTTTTGAAACTCAAGCAAACAGAAGCCAGTATGGCATGACTGAAGATGAAACTACCTAATCTGGACTAGGAAATTGAATTCACGGCTAAGGAACCAGATGCCCAGGTGACATCTCGGCTTCAGTGAAGATACAGCTAGAATCTGATGGAGCCTGGAACTTCAGGTTCCAGCCATACCTGACCTTTTACCTGTAGCAGAACCTCCTAAATACAGACAGATGTGTGCTCTTAGGTATGGTTCCTCCACTCCAGACCCAGAAATGGGTGTGATGGGTACTTTAGTACTTTTGTGTGTCCCTGGTTTTTCTGGCCTTCCTGTATAGGGTGGCTCACTGGCTAGAGCTGCAAATGCCAAGCATCCTGCTTCCCTGGCAGCGAGGCTGTAAGAATTGTCGGATCATCTTGTATTCCCTCAGCCACTGGCTTTACTAATGGACTCCGGTATTCAGAGGACTCAACAGCAGACATCAACAGAACCAGACTCAGCTTCCCACACTAACTGCCATGCACTGACTTGCTGCCCCTAGATGTCTGTTCTCTGGACTTTTCCATGATCTGGAACCAATACACAGGCATCCTGGAGCTAAGCCACAGTGTAACAATCTGTGTTTCTTAGATCCTGCCTGTAGGCTTCCCTTTGACTTGCTTTGCAGTTAGTCATTGTAAATCTACCACCCTTGGGCTCTGGGCTGGAATCTCAGAAACTGAAATCTTTCCCTCTTTAGGTTCAAAAGCGTGACCTGAACGGTGGAGGGGGGGAGAGGGGGACACAAGGCTTGCAGTCTAGCCTGAACTGTAATTTGTCTCTGTGGGCAGCCTCCAGCCACATGTATTCCACAAGACCCCCTAGGTCCTATGGGATCCCAACCCTTCCCTACTTGCCAAATCATGTGTCCTGTGGCTGAGTCTGTACCCAGCCCCAGGCTGGGGTCAAAGACATGCCATGAAAATGTGTGCAGGCCTGCCACTCAATGTTTGTCAAGCAAAAGTCTACATGACCCTGCCCAGGCTGTTCAGAACAGTGAGGAAATGGATAAATAAAAATCTGTGAGCTGGGTAGTGGTAGCACGTGCCTTTAACCCCAGCACTTGGGAGGCAGAAGCTGGAAGATCTCTGAGTTTGAGGCCAGCCTGGTGTACATAGTTCCAGGATAGCCAGGGCTACACACAGAAACCTTGTCTCAAAAAAAAAAAAAAATGCTGAGAACTGAGGAGAGGTGGCTCAGTGGATAAAGTGCTTGCTGGCCAAGCCCAAGGACCTGACTTTGGATCCCCCACACTTTATTAAAAAAAGCATGACCTGTAACCCAGCCCCTAGATTCCTGAAACTAGATGGCTGGCCATCTAGTGATGGCCAGAACTGTGAGCTTCAGTTCAGTGAGAGGCTCTGAAGGGTGAAGACCAATTGAAGATAACCCCACATCAACATCTGGCCTCAAGTGCCCACATTGGTGAACACACCCACAAATGCATGTACAAACCTATATACCCCAGGTACAAAAGAATTGTCATGGGGCTGGTGGTGTAGCTCAGTGGTAGAAGACATAGCTAGAAAGTTCAGTTTCGGGACTGGAGAGATGGCTTAGCGGTTAAGAGCAGTAGCTGCAATTCCAGAGGACCCAGATTCAATTTCCAGCAACCACATGACAGCTCACAACTGTCTGCAACTCCAGTTCCAGGGGATCTGAGTCCCTCACACAGACATGCATGCAGGTGAAACACCAATGCACATTAAAAGCTCAGGCTTATCCCAGCACTGAAGAGTAAAATAGTGTTCACCTGGTACAGTGGGGGGTGCCTTTAATCCCAATATATGGGAGGATGAAACAGGAGTTTTGAGGGTTTGTTTTGTTGTTTGTTTTCTTCAAGTTCCTTTGTATCTTGGCAGGCTGTCCTAGAACTCGCTCAGTACACCAGGCTGGTCTGGAACTTGTAAAGATCTGACTGTCTCTGCCTCCCAAGTGCTGCTATTAAAGGCATGTGCCTCCACCATCTAACGAAATGGGAGTATTTCAAGAACCAGAGATTCAGCGGCCTTCTAACTCTTCTGGGAAAGGAAAAACTCTGGCCTCTGTTCATTCAGCGTAAGCGAAAGCTATCCTTCCCTGCACTCAAACCTCTGAGTCCCTCAACTCACATCCCATCCCCAGCCAAGACAGAACCAACCAGCCAGAATGGCTTGCAGACATCACTTTGCCCAGTTTGCCAGCTGGGGGCTGCAGAGAGTCAGAATCATGCCCCGAAAGTGGCCTCTCTTTCCCAGGGCAGGCAGTGCTCTGAGGCTGCTTAAGGAAAAGATCCCAGTCCCTGCTCCAGCTTCAGTCAGAGGGAAACTGATCTCCCAATGGAGAAAGCAAGGTAAGGGCTGGCAAAGGGAAACAGGAGCTGAGCCAGTAGACAGAAACTGTAATACAAGCATGGAGTTGGGGACAGGCAGGCAAGAAGGTGGGTAGAAGGGAAGTGAGCTAGCTCCAGGCTCAGGCAGTGAAATTAGGCAGTTCTAGAAGCCTAGAACACACGGTTGTGGTCGACACAGGATGGTGACAGAGCTAAAGGTCTGGTTTATCTCTCTTGGGGTCAAGGCCTCCTTCCTGTGTATAGTACCTGTGGCACACTTGGGTGAGAGGCATTGTCAGTCTAGCCAGAGTGGAGCAGCCCAAGAATGTTCCTTTAGTCGGTGAGGGATTTTCAGTCATGCAAAAACCAAATCCTTGTCAGGCAGCAGTGACACACACCTTTAATCCCAGGATTTAGGAGGCTGAGACAGGCAGATCTCAGTGAATTTGAGCCTAGCCTGGTGTACATAGTGAGTTCCAGGACATCCAGGACCGATACACAGAGAAACCCTGTCTCGAAGAAAATCCCCACCAAAAAAAACCCACATCCTTGACCACAAAAAAAGGATATCAGATGGAGCCAGTATGAAGCAGAATTTGAGATAATTCAAAAACTGTCACTTTGGGGTCAGGATCTTGTGATGTAGACCTGGCTGTCTTGGAACTCAGTCTGTGAACCAGACTGGCTTCAAACTCAGCGATTCACCTGCTTCTGCCTCTTGAGTGCTAGCTCTGGCTGGCCTGGACTTGCTTTGTAGATCAGGCTGACCTCGAACTCACAGAGATCTGACTGCCTCTGCATCCCCAGGGCTGGGATCGAAGGCATGTGCCACCATTATGTTTGTTGTCCTGGCAATTTATTGGGACAGCCTGAGCTTGGGAAGTCACACACTTGGTTAGAGCTAGGTTTCTTCAACTCACATAGATATCAAGGTTCACAGTTTCCAGAAGCCTGAGCCCTGTCCACACAGCACTTGGTCTTTCAAACTCACAGTCTTTCTCCCCAGCCCCCACCCTCCCAGCCCACACCATCTCATTCATTCTTCCTCACGCCCTGGCACTCTTGTTCACCCCCCCCCCCCAAATACTTCATTGATTCATTCCCACACCTTTGACATACAATACCCCACATTTACCTTTCCGTTCATCCCTCCCTCACCCTTTACACACTCCATCACCCCACCCTCCCCTTTTCTCCCGTCCATCCCCTCATCTAGTAGATATAGCGCCCCTGTCACAGGGCCTGTGAAACCCCAGCTCGCCAAGGTCTGGTTCCAGTACAGCCTGGCAAAAGCAGCAGGAGCTGTAGCTCTGGGAGAAGTCACTGCCTACCCCAGGTGGAACACTGCAGAGACAGCTGCCGGCTAGACTCCCAGGGTGGTGCTCCCTAGCCCTGGCCTGGAGTCCCTCTGGGCCTCTCTGGAATGGAATTCGGAGAAGGCAGAATGGAAGATGCATGCTAGAGCAGATACCCTCAGCCTGGCCTGCCCTGAAAGGGTTATAGGAGACAAAGGGCCAGCAAGGAGTGAAGGTGGGTGGGAGGCCTTGCAGTCCACCCCAGGGATTTAGGCTGGATCCCTTTTGTGTCAGAGATCTTGTCCTCTTGAGTAGTGTACAGGAGGCAGGGAGTCTGAACCCAGCATCTCCCATGGCTGCCTAAACCTTTGGGCCACACACTGCTGGTAGACCTAGATCTTCACACACAGAAATGTCTGCAAAGGGGTGAGGTGGGCCTGCCATGTGACAAGCTGCTCTTCTGTCCTGGTGAGTGACCAGGGACATTCCTGTGGTTGGCAAGCCTCTTGAACTTCCTGTTTGTTCTTGCCTGTCCCCCACACCCAGGTGTGGCCATTAGTTACCTCCCAAAGCTTCGGGTGCATATAAAGATAGCCTTCCATCAGGGTCCCGGAAGGACAGACTTCAAGTGGCACTC